AGGTTGAAGAGTTTTTTAATGAGAAAAACATCCCCTTGACAAACGTCGTGGCATGTGCAACCGACGGAGCTGCATCCATGGTTGGACGATATCGTGGATTTCAAACTCATCTAAAATCGGTTGTACCTGGAGTTATGACTGTCCATTGTGTCGTTCATAGACAGCACCTTGTCTCAAAACAATTGAGTGGCCGTTTGCACGAGTCTCTACGTTATGTCATTAATGCTGTGAATAAAATTAAGTCGAATGCCTTGAACAACCGACTTTTTCACAAGCTTTGTGAAGAAAATGACGAGGAGTTTGAACGACTCCTTTTGCACACCGAAGTAAGGTGGCTTTCAAAAGGAAAGTGTTTGCGGCGATTCCATGAACTTTTTGACACAGTTGTCGAATTTCTTGAATCCATTGACCCAAGTCTAAGCAGTTCTCTTAAACTTCGACGTCTGGATGTAGCTTATCTCGCTGATGTTTTTGACAAGCTGAATGAAGTGAACATAAAGCTGCAAGGAGATAAAATCAATTTTCTTAAGGCCAAGGAAGTAATCTGCTCATTTATTTCCAAATTGGACCTCCTTGCAAGCAATATGAGTCGCCAGGAGCTGTATCAGTTCCCAAGCCTTGGTAATGAACGTGAACTCCAAGGAGAAGATTTGGACGTTTTTTGCTGCCACTTGAAGCAACTAAAAGAAGATATGGAAACCAGATTCTATGATCTGATAAATCTGGAAGTGCCCACTTGGGTGCTCAATCCTTTCACAGCAGACTTTTCACAACTTCATCCCAAACTGCAAGAGCCACTGATAGATCTGAAATACGACTATGAAGCCCAGTCACATTTTCAGAGTTATGGCTACGAAGCTTTTTGGGTGAAAATGAGGAACACTTACCCAATATTGTGGGAGGAAGTTAAGTTGCTTCTTTTAGGCTTTCCTTCCACTTACTTAGTGGAGAGGGGCTTCAGCGCCGTCCAACAGATCCTTTTTAAGTCAAGGAACATGTTGAAGATCTCTGAGCGCGGTGATTTAAGAATGCGATTAACAAAAATGGTTCCAGACATCAAGAAATTGGCATCAGCTCACCAAGCACAGGGCAGCCATTGATGTTCTTTTTTTTTGCTTTTTGTACACATACATTTTTTTCATTAATAATTGAGCTTTTATCATTGTATTTGCTTGCATTGGATTTCACATTCCAGTTTGAGTTTTTGGCTTCGTTTTCAAATTTTTGTTGTGCTCTGTAAAACATTTTGTGTGTCTCTTTGTATTGTACTTTTTTAGCGTGCACTCCAGTTTGAAATTATATTTTCTTTATGTCTTTTTAATCCTTTTTACAGTGTGCGTGACTATATACACTTTCCTTGAATCTTAATTTAGTTTCAGAATTTTCGTCTTGAAATTCTTAGTTCCTGCATTGCGGTTTGTTCTTATGCCCTTTTTATATTTCTTTTTGCGTCTTAAATTTCACTTGTAATTCAATCATTAAATGTTACTGTTTTTCTTTTCGGGCATTTCACTTTCTTGCAATTGAATTTTGTTTTCAGTGGTCATTATATTTAAGTGTCTTGAATAAATAAGATAATAATGAAATACATGTATCACAAAGTTTGGGAATAAAGTGGCACCAAAATTTTTCACACAGATGAGATATGGGAAAAAGACTGGAAATAAATTATTTGCATCGATAATGTCCAGATGACAATTTTAAAGAAAACAAAGTGTTTGCATAAATTGAAGAATTATTTCCTATGTTGTGATTGAGAGGTTATGTTGGGGGAGGGGGGCGATGACAACTTCCTCATTGGCTCAAGGGGGCGATTCGTTCAAAAAGGTTAAGAACCACTGGTCTAACACACAACTGGGAATGTTCCCAAGCACTTAAAAATCAAGTGGATCCATAATCCTGTGGGTCCTCTACCCCTACAGAGATCTAGGGGTGTTCTTCATGTTGATCAGAAAGTGATCTGAGAATAGCAAAGCAGTGATCCACTACGCCCTCCCTCTTCTGATCTCAGGCTGTCTGCCCTGAAGATCAGGCCCAGCCTATGGGGCTCCTTTCAGTTGGGCCAGGTAACATCTGGTATACACTCTCGGGAACCAGGAAGTCCTTTTGCTGTCCAGATCCTTTATGAAGTTCAGGTTATGTTGAATTTTCTTGGGCAGCTCTGTTATTCCTGGGAGCGCATATGCTGTTCTTCATTGTCAATTCAAACCTGACTGGAGTAATAAGGTTGCTGTCTAAACCTTTCAAGTACTTTTCAAGTTAAATATGCCAATTATTTAACAATTGTTTTGTCTTCTAGCTGAAAGAAAAACTGGCCGTATTGAAAAGAGAATACAACAAAACATTCCACAGGTTACAGGTGGGTAAATAAAAGGGATTCTCTGGAACTGTTGAAGGACAATCTCTTCATTTGGGGAAGGCTTGAGGAGCAAAAATCAGCAGAAATTGACTAATTTCATATGGACTAGTAAGAAAAGCAATGCGATTGCTAACCTTCATTTTCACAGCGTGCTGAGAAAGCTGCAAAGGTTAAAAATCACATCAAGAAAACGATTGCAGAGCAAAACCTGCTGCTTGGACAGGAGGAAGCCATGAAGAACCATTCAGGTAACACTGAGACAGCATCTGATGCTCTCTTTCTCTCCCCCCCCCTCTCTCTCTGGAAAAACTTACCTGGAAAACTACACTTCCCCTTCATAGGCATCATCTGTCATTTAGAGTTTGGTTTTCTGATCTTTCACCATCCTGCTAGCCCATCTCAGAATTCCCTCTAATGTATCATTCTCCTTCTGAACCCTGGTGCTCAGAACCGATCAGGATAGAACAACATAGAAAAACTAGTTCCTATAATCTGCACTCAGTGCTTCTGTTTTGCAGTTGCCTCAGTCTGCTGGATGATGTGAACTTGTAGTTGACAAGGAGACTCAGATCCCCTTTTCAGGCATTGTTGCCAACCAAGTTTCCCCCATCCTACCCCTGTGCTTTTCATTTTTCCTGTCCAAATGCAGAATTTTACATACATCCCTGTTAAATCCCATTTTATTCATTTATTCTCACTGCTTGCTTCGGTTTGAATCTTTTCTAGTTAATGGTGGCAAAACAATTCAACAGAATCTGATAGCTCCTTTTCTGAGTAATAGGTTTCCTGCCCCAAACCTAAACCTCTAAATAGAAGCAACCCCTGGTTCCATTTGTTGAGAAAGGTATGGTTTCATTAAAAGTCAACTGCATTGCAGTAGTGCATACCCACAACTGAGAATTGTGGGCCCAAATCCCTAAGTTTTCCCTCCCTTAGCTGCCTCCCATCACTTTCCCCCTCCCCATGACCAACCAGGTTCAAGCAAGTTGTTTTCAGAAGGGTCACTTCAAGCATAAGTTTGGTATGCAGCTGCCTTCTTCTCCCAGCCAGGTGACCTTGAAACGGCAAGGGGGATACAGCAAGTAGAGTCTAAAGGGTGGAGGGGGATATAATAGTTACTTTCACTTTCCCCCAACCATCCCTCCCCACATAGTCCATGGTAGACTGTTACTGCATAAGAAGCAGAGGTTATGAATATGTTTATTATTGTGTTTAATTTTAATTTGTTTAAATTTGTGCTAAAGGGGAGTTAAAGTGCATTATGGACTTGGTTATTTTAATAGTTGGTTAATGCTAGATAGATTTTGATTATTATATTTGTAACCCTGTGTTCAGCTCTGGGAAGTGGGGGAGGGGGAGGGAGGGGTTTTGGGGTGGGGGGGCTTATACTGTAATCTTCATAAAACTTTTAATAAAAAAATTAAAAGAAGCAGAAGCAGCTGACAGATTTATTAAAAGAGGGAGCCGCAGTTCACTTCATCAGATGCAGAGAGCAGCTGGGCTGGCGCAGGACTTCAATTGGGGCTAGGAAGGGAAGAGAGGAGGGCGGTGTAGATGC